TCACATTGAAACAGATGAACATTCAGTCTCAACTCTCAAGACCCTTGAGGAGGATTGTTAGCATTACAACTTTCCAGAAAAAAAATATCATGTAACATCACACATCACACCGATATGAAACAGAATACATTTTGGAATCCACAGCTGGATTTCGGCTCCTTACACTTTCCCGTAGAGACAAAAAATGAGTGAAGAATGAAGAATGAAAAGTCAGTAATCCTGTGAAATATGATTTCATTTTACGGACTCGGGGGGACGGTAGAGACTTTGAAGTTTTGCCACTGTTGGTTTTAGGTTGAGATCTCAAGACTGCGTAAGTGAAGCATGACACGTGATAGTCGCAATCTAAATCAACATCATTGCACATAAAAAAATCTAAATCTTCTTGAGGCCAGATGATTTTCATAATGATTAGCTTTGCATTTTGAGCATCACCTCAATTAATTGTATAATCCTGAGCTCTTCAAAGCTGCTTGTAATAGTCCAATTATGCACGCATGCATGTGACTCTGAACATATTGGGTGCACTGCAACATTTATGGACTACACGAAACCCTGGGGAATTGGTGTATTGCCCCCTCTACTGGTTAAAGGAAGATATTTTGTTTAAAAAAATCATCTCTTTTCCTTTTTACTAATCTAATACTTTCTTTTTCATTGCAAATGATATTATCTGCATAATAATTTGTGTGAAAGTTAACTATTTTAATGTATATATATTAACATTAAAATATTAAAGGAATAGTTGACAAATGAAAATTTGTTGAAAATGTACTCATCCTCAAGCTTTGCAAGATGTAGATGAGTTTGTTTCTTCATTGGAACAGATTTGGAGAAAAGTAGCATTCGATCACTTGCTCACCAATGAATCCTCTGCAGTGAATGGGTGCCGTCAGAATGAGAGTCCAAACAGCTGATAAAAACATCACAATAATCCACAAGTAATCCACACGACTCCAGTCCATCAATTAACATCTTGTAAAGAGAAAAGCTGCGTGTTTGTAAGAAACAAATCGATCATTAAGACGTTTTTAACTTCAAACTGTTGCTTCTGGTTAAAATGAGTCCTCTATCCATATGTTACCTCCAGTAAAAAAAACTTATGTCTATTCTGAATCAGGAAATGTGCACAGATCAAGCACTCTTCATAAATTAAAACAATATGTCGGTGGGTTTTGATGTGAGAGGACAACAGGAGATGGACTTTTTCACTGAAGAAAGCATCATTATGGACATGTATTTTAGCTGAAAGCAATGGTTTGAAGTTAAAACGCATTAATGATGAACTTGTTTCTTACAAACAAGCAACTTAGCACAAGATGTTAATTGATGGACTGGAGTCGTGTGGATTACTTGTGGATTATTGTGATGTTTTTATCAGCTGTTTGGACTCTCATTCTGACGGCACTCATTCACTGCAGAGGATCCATTGCTGAGCAAGTGATATAATGCTAAATTTCTTCGTATCTGTTCCGATGAAGAAACAAAATCATCTACATCTTGGAAAGTCTGAGGGTGAGTAGATTTTTAGCAAAGATTAATTTTTGGGTTAACTATTCCTTTAATCTTCATATTACATATAATTAATCAAAATAAAAAAACTTTTGTTTATTTGAAGGTTTAAATAAATTAATTTTCAATGTGGTCTTAAGACTTATGGAGTTTTGCATCTCAGTCTTTGATGTAACATTGAAATAAATTCACAATGATATCTATAAAAAAAAAAAACATTAAATTTTTTGGCATAAATACACAATTTACATGTTCGACACTCAAAAACAGGGTTTTATCAATTCAAAGTTAACAACAGACAAATAAGCAATATTGAGCTCTGGAATGGTCAATATGTACACAAAGCAGTTGCATAATACAGTTGATGGCTTTTTCCAACAGATTCGATAAAATTGTGTATCTGCTAGCAGGTGGAGTAATCGTCCATCAGCAATCTGAAATAACACTTAAGAACCTTCACACCACATTTTCTAATGATCACCCCATGCTAAACAGTATTTTCTTTTACTATATCTGCCCTCCACCACTGCACATTATGAAATGGAGCACATCCGGTTCACGTCGTCTATTGCATTTTCTTGTTCTCTCTGGCTGCTTTTCTTTTTAACTGCAGTATCTTCAATTCTGTCATGGTTGAGAAGGTCCTCCACACCCACACAGCCTAAAACACAAAGACTGAGTTTAAATCAAAGGTGAAATCTTAACATACTCTGTCAAATTAATCAGATGAAATGCATATTTTAGTATTATATATAAAGAAGACTATTCTAAAAAGGAAAAACTTACCACAATAATAACAGTGTTGAGCATGAGCGGGACTGAGTATACTAGTGATATGAACATTCCTTTTGAATCAAAGTATTGGAACTTTGAAAAAGACCTAAAAACAAAATGCAGTCACATGAAGTATAACAACAAAATAAACATAAAATCATAACAGGGCGTTATGGTGGGGATATAATCACCTCCAATTCATTGCTGCCAGCTCGTTCAGGTATTCTGCGCTGTAAACCATTGCAACTGCAAAAGATGAAATACTATGTCATCTGGTAAATCTATAATTAACACGTTTATAATTAAATATAAATGATATTTAGAATGCCTTCACAATTCAGAAAACACATTGTGTTTGTTGTAATGTAATCTTCTCAGAAAATTAATGCTTTCCATTATAATTTTATACATTTACCCTGATAGCATTTTATTAACGCACAAACTCACCCATCAAGAGAAAATGACAGATCTGTAGACGGTAGCATTTGCAGGACAGAATGGTGAAAGCAAAACACAAGACATGAAAGGCCAGCAGACCCATCAGCCAGGGTTCAGACCAGTCAACCTGGAAACCAGATCACAAGATTATTACTAGTTCTTCCTAGGTACAAAAAAATACGTTTTCTTCACTTAATCCACGTGGCCTCGGCTGTACTGAAAAATACCCAAGAAACTCTGGATTAGCTTTATGTGAACCATAAAAAGAGAATGTAATGTTGCTTTAAACTTACAGACTGTAGAAAGCTCCATAATGATGTGATGCGAACATTGCTGAATCCATCGATTGGAATGGCGCTGATATTCTTAGCTTTGGACTCGGTCATTTTATTAGACTGCACGCCTCTGTATTAGCAGCTAAACCACACACGCAACATAAACACTTCCGCATTCGTCACGGTCTTTCTCTCTAAATTCACCAATGGATGGCGACATTAGTTGATGCTGAAGTGCAGGTTATTGTTGTTTCATATTCATTATTATTACTCATACTAAATTTTAAGAGTGGGTTTGAAATGAAAATAGAATGTTTTAAATTCCCGCATCGGGTTAAAAGGAACAAAATTGCGACAAATAAATGAAAGAAGATGTGTAGCAATGGGAAATTCAAAATAAAAGTCACATGGAAACCTGTATTTATAACAAGGCTGGACGGCATGGTGATACTCAACCTACTTACAAACTTTAAACGGCAAGAATGTATGATTATTACACATAAACAGTTACAGCAAATGGTACAATTAAATGTCAAAGAAAATTTAAATACAGCCAACCCTCTACATTGCGAGTAAATCAATCTTACTCTGGGCGACTAAATGATGTCTAATATTAGCCAATTGCTAATAAATTCTCCAATGGCTAATAAATTCTCAGATTTTACTCGCCAGTGTGTGAGTTGGAGGTTAATTGTAGCACAGATATATTTTCACTTATATATATTTATTTAATTATTATTTTTTTTATTAGTCTGGCGAGTAAACAAACAAATTTACTAGCCAATGGCGATTCAATTGCCAAGGTGTTCGTAGAGGGCTGACAGCTGGTATATTTGTATATATTTCAATATATCTGATACAATATCCAAACGCCCTATCAGAATTATGCTGGAATATTGTTGGATTTTGTTGAAAAAATATAATTTATTGTAAATGTAATTTATAATGTAATGTATTATAATATTTATAATCGTAATAATTTTGTACTCAGTAATATGAATGATGTGTGTGTGTGTGTGTGTGTGTGTGTGTGTGTGTGTTTGGAAAGTTATAATTCATTCTTTTGAGACTGTGCTGATATTTTTATGATTTATTTATTTATTATTTTATTTCATTTTATTATTTTATAATTTACTAGTTTTTAAAAGCTTAAAACCAGCTAAAACTAGAAAAGACTAGTCTTAAAGGGACTTTGGTGTCCATGCTCCTTTTATAATGTTGAATAAGTTGATTGTAAATTGAATGCCGTCTTATAATATTTTTGGTTATTAAAAAAGATGAAAAATTATTTTTGTGAATAACTTCTTTTGTTTGATATTCTATTTTTTAATATTTAATTCGTTTCAAAGTTGTGTGCTCGATTGTTTGTTAATTATCTGTTTTGTTGTTGTTGTTGTTTTTAAGAAAAGCACTTCATTTGTTAAAACCAACCTGAATCTAAAATGATTTTGCATTCATGTATAATTTATGTCTTTATGTATAATTTACATTTCTTGAAATATCATATCCTTATATCTTGGTATCTCTAGTGTTGTAATGGGCATTTAAAAACAATTATTAAACAACAAAAATTATTAATTGTAATTTATGGATGCATTTGGAGTCGAAATAAAGATAATTTTGTGTCCGTGTAACACAATTCAGTTCTGAACGGGTTAAAGGGATAGTTCACCCAAAAATGAAATCGGTTTCTGGCACAAACCGATCGTTTCGTGTCTTAGGACATCAATGTGTTGTCACGAGCCGCAGGGTTTAATTTGGATTTGTCTGTGCATGTTTTTTTTACTCTCATAGATTTTGTTACCATTGCCATGCATTATACGACTGATAGACTGCAACGGTTGGAGTTAAAAATCATCATATGTGTTCTACTGAAGAAACAAAGTCACCTACATCTTGGATGCCCTGGGGGTAGCAGATAAACATCAAATTTTCATTTTTGGGTGAACTATCCCTTTAAGGTCAAACGATACCGCAGTCGCATTCCAGCCGGCGATGACGCGCTTCCTGTGACGCAGTGAGATTTTAAAACATTGTCCTTCTCAGTAATGGCGGCTTCGTTCCCTTCGCTTTCGCTAAATAACAATAAATGGTACTTCACGCGCGAACAAATCGAAAACAGCCCATCTCGCCGAGCGGGACTTGATCCCGACAAAGAGCTCTCGTACCGACAGCAAGCTGCTAATCTGCTGCAGGACATGGGACAGCGGCTCAACGTGTATCTTTTTTCAGTTTGTGAGGCGTCGTTCTCGGCAGCTGCTCAGAGGAGACTGACGCCGGTTCAGGCGGCTTGTGTGGTGTTGTGTTTCAGCATTATAATGACCTGAAACAGCTCTACCAGTAAACACGCCTGTTGTATTGTGAAACTTGTGGATTAAGACGAACGGAATAAAAGATCTATGTCCCCGTTTTGTGTTTTTTTTTGGTTTAGTTAAGGCCATAGGGCCTAGCTGGAGGTGTCTTTCCTACTGAACAATAGCGCAGCCGGTGTCACTGCCATTCCCACTCTCTACAATTTTCTTCATTATACCATTTGTTTACACTTTAGTGTTAGATTTATATGATATTTATGCCATTCCAAACATATATCCGTTAGTATTATTTAAACATATCTTGACTTGCCCTGCATGAGAGAAGTTCTAATACTGTAATAGAATATATAACGTTAGTAATAGGAAGTTATTCGGTTTTATTTTAGGTTAATGATGTTCCATAGATTAAAGGAAAGTAGTTGAATTGTTTTTCCTTTGGTAGGAACATGTGCTTTCACTTTTACATTTGAATAGTGGTGCTAATGTGTCTAAAATTAAATGATAGTACCTCTAGTGAACTACAATACAAGAATTTAATGAAAATATGAATCTGTGATTGACAAGCCCAGCATATTGCTCAAGAAATTTTGGCTGGACATGCTCTCCTAAATATCAATACTAGTTATGATCCTTTTGAAATACTGAGGTTGTTGAGTTGAGCAGTTGTGCTGTTTTTCTTAAATGCTTTTAGTGTGTTACAATCCTTAACTTTGAACTATTAGGTCTCAACTTACAATTAACACTGCCATTGTGTATATGCATCGGTTCTACATGATCCAGTCCTTCACTCGCTTCCACCGTAATGTATGTGCTTTATTCTTCCACAAGCTTTTTATAAGAACCTCCATTAAAAACAGCTGGCTGCATTGGACGGGACTCTAACCTCTCTGCTTCTGTCATGTGCTGCACAGGTGATTGCTCCTGCAGCTCTCTTTTTAGCCGCGAAAGTGGAAGAACAGCCCCGCAAGCTAGAGCATGTGATTAAGGTGACCCATGCATGTCTCAATCCTCAGGACCCGTCACCAGACATCAGGAGTGATGTAAGTAATGATAGTATCTATGTGACATGGCCTTCAAACCATCTGTGAGAGTCACATTTGTTTAAATGGAACGTATTAGAGTAATATTAAGTTTTTCTTGACCATATTTTACTTTACTTTTTTTTTTTTTTTTGTGTTAACTATTTCTTAAAGGGATAGTTCACCTAAAATCTGGTGGAAAGAGTACTAAAAAATTGTACTTAAGTAAAGGTATTGCTACTTAAGGAATAAATTACTTGAGTACAAGTAAAAGTACTGAAAAATAATATAACTCAAGTAAGAGTACAAAAGTAGTTTGCTGAAAAACTAAAGTTACTGTTAGTGTTGTCACGGTACCAAAATTTCAGTATTCGGTACCTGGGTCACCATACTTGGCCACATGTCACTTCACTCCTTTCACTTCACTTTAGCCGTTATGCTTTTTCGGCTAATGGTTGCAGGCTTGCCTTCTAGTGGCTTTTTTAAAATTTTTTATTATTATACAGAACAAAATATACAGCATTTTACAAAAACATGCCAGAGTGTACAAACCATTGATTCATTAAAG